TGATGCTCTATCTACTGACCCAAACCAGTTAGGTCTGAAAATGATTTTTAAGCCTAGCTTAAACCCCTGAGAGTTACTCCCTTTTCCCTGGATATTCCCCATGTATACATGAGGTACACATGTTCAACTTCTGTTTTTCTCTGGTTACAGGGGCACTGGCTGAGACCTTAGAATAAAGTGACATTTGTTTTTCTTCACATACAGGTAGTCTTTGGAGGTTAGGCCATGAGGATGGAGCCCTGTGAGTGGGATTAGTGCCTGTATCAGAGGCCAGAGAGCTAACTTGCTCTCTCCACCACATGAGGGTACAAAGAGAAGGTGGCCATCTGCCAAGTCTGGCAGAGGGTCCTGACTGGAACTGACCAGCACCTTGTTCTTCCAGTCTTCAGGGCTGAGAGAAATGTTTCTCTGCCTGCAGGGGAAAATAGTTGTTCCCGGTCCTATGCTACCACAGTTCCCATTCCAGGTTATGAATAGAGTCTTGTCTCCTTATGTCATTTGTATGTCCAACTGTCTCCCTTGTTTGACTCTGAGCAATCTCTATCTTATTAATCTGCACAATATCAGCCCTCAGACTACTATCTGGCGCATAGTTGGAGCTCAAAAATGTTTCCCAGGTAAGGAATTCAGGAAAGATAAATTCTTTTAGCTTTTGAAATTGTGCTTTATCTTTGAATCAAAGAACAGTTTTATCTACTTGTTTCTCAAAACAAAACCAAAAAAAAGCTACTAAAGGAATTTGAGCCTCAGAGAGGTATTTACTTATCCAAGATCATCTGACTTTCTTTCATTTCAGCTTGAGGTGAGCTCTAAGTTCTTCTGAATCTGTAAATGAGTGGACAGGTAGCAGAGAAGTGACCAAAGGCAGTAGGTTGTAGATCAAGTCACTTCTTATCCTTGGGCAATAGGCTCCTGGTCCTGCTTTTACTCCGGGCTGATGGCCAATGGATTCAACTGAGGAAGGAAATGATATAAGGAAAACAGGGATCTTTCAACCTTATGTTGTAGGATTCCATAGAAAACCATCTTGATGTCATTTTAGCCACAACAATGTGAAATCACATAGAAGGAACACCTTAGAACTGCGGAGTTAAATGGCAAAGGAATGAAAGGGATTTCTTTGCAAAATCCAGAGAACATTTCAGATAAAAAGCAAATAAGAAGTGTCTAAGTAGCCCTAACCGGTTTGGCTCAGTGGATAGAGCGTTGGCCTTCACTGAAAGGTCCCAGGTTCGATTCCAGTCAAGGGCATGTACCTTGGTTTAGGGCACATTCCCAGTAGGGGGCGTGCAGGAGGCAGCTGATAGATGTTTCTCTCTTATTGATATTTCTAACTCTCAATCCCTCTCCTCTCTGAAAAAAAAAATCAGTAATATATATATATATATATGTGTGTGTGTGTGTGTGTGTGTGTGTCTCTAAGTAGCAGACAAGACTTGTAAAAGAAATTTAGAGTATTTTGAGTGATCTACAATTTGTTAGATCCAAGTGGTGCTTTCCAAAGGACTAGGTGAAGCTTGTAAATGATTGTGCAAGTCTTTAACACATGATATTAAAAGCATAATAATGCAAGAGGGTCAAGGGCTAGACAGTCTTCCAAGAGGACTTTGGATTTGACAGGAAATTTTCAAAAGGACTCATGATGAAAGGGAAAGTAAGAGAGAAATAAAGATGTCTTCCTGGTCTAGGTGGTGGGGTCGGGGCTGCAGAATTTCTCTGTAGATGGGGCTTAGAAGCCGTGGTCTTTCTGGAGAGAGGACCAGGGGCTTTATCTTTTTTTTCTTTTTTTTTTTTTAAATATATTTTTTTAATTGATTTTTTACTGAGAGGAAGGGGGAGAGACAGATAGAGTCAGAAACATCCATGGGAGAGAAACATCAATCAGCCACCTCTGGCACACCCCCTACTGGGGATGTGCCCGCAACCAGGGTACATGCCCTTGACCAGAATTGAACCCGGGACCTCTCAGTCCGCAGGCCGACGCTCTATCCACTGAGCCAAACCGGTCTCGGCAGGGGCTTTATCTTTTGAGGTTAAGCAAGTACAGATTTGCTTATATTTTATGACACACACAAAGCTTTCTAAAGATGCCTTTGTTTATAGTTCACCAAAGACAGAGAAAATGACACTTGTCTATATCCAGGAACATTCCTCCCCTCTGGTAAGTTCCATGAGCCCTAGTTGCCCTCCCTGTCCTCCCACCTCTAATGACACCATGGCTGTGGTGACCCTAGAAGGTGGAAAACAGAAAATGGCTGGAGAAGAGACCAGCGTTCAGGAGGGAACCAAAGACAAATTGGACATTTAACGAACAGATTTAGAATAAAAATTCCCAAGGAATTAGAACATTTTCATTCTTTCTTTAAAGGACAGTTTAAGGGGCTGGGGATAAGAATCTGGATGGGCTCTGAGGCTGAACACAACTGACACACAAAGAGGGAGAGCTCTTGGGATCTGAAGACTTTTCCTGGGAAGGACTGATCACTTTCTTTTGATAAAACCAGGAACAGAATCATTTTCACATGGTATCCTGGACAATAATATGGGCTGAATGCTAACTACGAGGAAGTGGATCAAGTCAATACCCAAACGAAAGCATCACTAAGTCATGCTCTGGGTATAACCTCCCCACAGATATAGATTGGAGATGGAAAGATAAATACTTGGAGTTATGGGACTATTACTCATCAAGAAATTGCATTTCCACAATCTAGTCTAGAGATTTCAAGACAAGGCAGTGTCTAAAATATTCGAATCTTCAATCAAATAATTTAGAGGGAACTGTTACCTTTTAACACAAAAACTGGACATTGCGGGATATTTTACTATTGAGAGGCCAAAAAGGAACAATTTTTTTTTTTAACGCTTTTCCCAAGCAAATCAGTCTCAGTGAGTTTCCATTGTTGCAATAGCGTGCTCTCTCTCTCTCCCTCTCTGCCTCTCAATAGCTCTTTAGAGTTCAGAATATTTCACTATGGTGATTTTTGTGCAGATTAAAAAAAAATATTCGAGGTAGTTACCCAGTGTAAACATTGTCAAGATACTGGAATCTTGAAACTGTAGGGAGAGGTTTAAGATTCTGTACTCTGATCCTCCATTTCTTCCTAACTCTGAGCCCCAGCTTGCTATCCTGTGCATTTAGGTCCAAGGGCTTAGAGGAGGTCTTCTGGCTGTTATCTGGGGGAGAATATTCAAATAAAGTAAAAAAAACAACAACAAGGAATTCCCATGAAAGAAAATGGATCTAGGAAGATATGACTACTTGAGGAACAAAACGAAGGAATATAGGTTCAGATATCATGGGGGTCATCGGACCTGCTAATAGGTGAAGAGCTGCATATATTTCACCAGCAGAGAAATAAGGAGTTAGGATGTGTAGGACTTTCCCCCTCTGTAAGCTTTTCTTCTTTATTAAATACTTTTATTGATTTCAGAGATGAAGGAAGAGAGATAGAAACATCAATGATGAGAGAGAACCATTGATTGGCTGCCTCCTCGTACACGACACTGGGGATTGAGTCTCGAAACCTGGGCATGTGCCCTCACTGGAAATTGAACGGAGATTTCCTGGTTCATAGGTTCATGCTTAATCACTGAGCCACGCTGGCCAGACAGCCCTCTGTGAGCTTTTTATTCACCCCATATCATGCCACCACCCATGTTTCGCTAAGTGTCCATTGTACGTTGTTCAGCAGGAAGAACGTGAAGATTTTTGCTGTCTTCAAGAAACCAATACTAATTTAGACGTTAACAATTTAAATGGTGCATAAGAGAAGCAGGAGTGGGTGTGATCAGCATAAAATGGTTAAATTGTGAAACGGGGGTAGGTGGGGTGTAATGCAGCAACGTGTTGCCCATACTGCGCAGAGGCCTTTGCTCTGTGCTTGTCCTCTGAAACGTTCATTGAGCCTGAACTTTCAGCACAGCACCCCTGATACAGCCCTGAACTTTGGATTCCCAGGACCCACCCACCTTCTTCTAGGTCACCAGCCCCTCCAAAAAGTTAAGGAGCAAACTGGCTGCTTGGTTTCCCTTCCCAGCACTCTTCTCCAGGAGGACGCGGGTAATCTGCGCGGAAGCGGTGCGTGGGTGTAGAGGTTGAGGGCTAGACCGGGAGAGGAGAGCGCCAGGTGGGCAGGGCCTTACAAGCTGCGTGCGCACACTCCCGGCCTCCTCCTAGCATCTGAACTCACGTGCGCCCTCCTCTTCTTCTCGTGCACATACACGGAACTCAACCAAACATGCCCATGGGCACATCCCAGCCCGCTTGCCTTTCTCAAGTACACATACACTCCTGCGTGCACCCAACCTGCACGTGTCCACACACCCAGTCTCCCTTCCTCCCCCAAGTGCGCACACCTACAGGTGGGAACACCGGCCCCCTCCTCCATGTGTGCACATAAACTCCCCTGGCTAAAAAATCAAACCTTTTTCTTCCCATGTGCACACACTTTAGCAAGTATACCCACGTGCACAGGGACACACACAGCTGGCCCCTTTCCTCTCTGTGCACTTACACATGCGCACACACAGACATCCTCCCGCTCTCATCCATGTGTGCATACTCATAGGTGCACACATCCGTGGCTCCTTTCCTACGTGTGCATCCACTCTCATCCGTTTCCCATGTGCGCACAAGTGTACACACACGCTGCCCCGTGTGCGCACAAATGCACACGCGACCTGGGCCCCCGTCCTCCATGTGCGCACAGGTGCACACATCCCCGGCCCCTGTCCTCCGTGTGCGCACACGTGCACACCCCACTGGCTCCTCACCCCCGCGCGCGCGCGCAACCGCGCATCCCGGCGCCAGTCCCTGGGTCTCCATCTCCGCCCCGCGCGCGCGCACACAGACGCGCACGCGCAGCCCATCCCCCCCCCTCCGAGCCAAGCGCGGGCCTCCCGGCGGGAGGAGGAGGAGGAGGAGGGCGCCGAAGGCGCGAAAACGCGCGCAGGCGCGCTGCCGGAGCCGGGCCGACGCCCACGTCACCGCGCCGCGCACGTCACGCCGCCCGACGCCCGCTCGGCAGGGTGAGCCCCGCGCCCGGCGCCTTGCAGGGCAGGACCCCGGGCCGGAGTGCGCGCCGGGACCGCCCGCGTGTCCGTGTCCGCGTGTCCGCGCCCGCGTGTCCGTTCCCGCGCCCTCGCGTCTGCCCCCGCGTGTCCGCGCGCTGACCGTCAGCCAGGTGCGGCGGGCAGGGGGCCGGAGCGGGCCGGGGTCCCGGGAGGGGCGCGAACACGCGGGGCGCCTACAGGTTCCCGTCCCCCTTCCCCGCCGCGTGTGCGCGCCTCTCCGGGTTCTCCCGCCTCCTGCCCCCCCAGTTCTGGGCGCCACCGTCGGGGGTTCCCAGGTGACCCGGCTGTGGGGTCGGGGGGGGGGTCCCGGGTCCCCCCCGGCGGGGCCTGCAGGTGGCCTTCTGGCGGAGCAGCAGCGCCGGCGTCTGCACCCGGCGGGGGTTGGGGTCGGCCCGGCGCACAAGGTCTGGGGGTCCGGGGCGCGTGGGGGCGGCGCTGACCCCGACTTGGCCTGTTCGACTGCCGGTTCCGGCGCGCGCGGGAGACGCTCGCGGCGAGGCGGCCGCGGCCTAGTGACAGGCCGGAGGCCGGACCCCGGAAGCCCACCTGTCAGAGTTACCGGCCGGCCGAGCGGGCGAGGGGATCGAGCCGGCGGGGCCCGGGCGCTCCCGGGGTGCGCTTTTGCGCAGGGCCAGAGGGGCTGCTTCCAGGCGTTTGGCAAGGGGTCCCCCGCTGCGCCCTGGGTGCGCGGGCGCAGGCTGTGTCCCAGGCCCGACCGGGTGCCGCGCCGGAGCCTTTGTGTGGGCGTCGAGGAGGACGGGGGTCTGCAGGGAGCGGGGCCGGGCATCTTGGTGTTGGCTGCATTTTCGTTCATTTAGATGACTTTTCAAAATCTCAGATGTGGGTTGTTGTTTTTTTTTTTTTCTTTCTTTCCCAGCTGCCCTTGGAGGATGGAGTGTGGGTTTAGAAAGGAAAGTGCCTGTTACCTGCAGAGGCAATCAGGATGGTTGGTGATGGCACTGGGGAAAATGTTGATATTTTATTAACTTCTTTTCTCATGCTTACGCATTTCTGTTTTTTCTTTCTTACCAGAAAAATCATCTTTCTTCTCTGGAGGGTGAACATTGATAGCATTGATTTCACGGATCTGGTAACATGGCAAAAGATGTGAGTATATTTGCTTGGTTTTTACATACACAGATATTTGCCTCCTTTCTTTGTGGTTTTCCCACTTTATTTAAGAATGACAACGCAAACTGCAGGGCTGTTTATTACCAGACTTAAAGCACGTAATACAGGATAAAAGTGAAAAAGATGAAATAACTCTTAATAGCTTTTACAGAGGTATGCGTGATTTGCTTCTACACCTGGGTTTTGCAGTCTTGGCACCAACGACAGATGTTGCGTGAGGCTGAAATGATATCATCTGACTTTTCCTTCATCTTTTCAGACTGCGTTAACTCAGAATTTTGAATGTCTTTGTTGAAGACCACCCTGAATTCAGTGAGGGCTGGTCGTGTGCAGAATGCCCCTGTGCACCTGCTTTGTGCAGAGGGCAGGAAGTTAATTCAGCTTTTATCAACAAAGTTCTTTCTGCCATTTAAAACTCACCTTGTTTTGGCCACATTTTTTCCTCAGAAAAAAATGGATTTTGGTGATGAATGAAATGTAGAAAATTTGCTTTGTGTTTGTCCTGAAACAATAGAATGTATTGAATGGGTTTTTTTTAAACTTCTTCCAAGAAATAGGCTTTAGGTCTAAACACATAGTCTGTTTCATTGGTTAGGTAGTTTTTACTATACTTTGTAATATAGTCAGCTAAAGTCACTGAAACCCTAGTTCTATCCGTTAGTGTTTCTTAGAATGCATTGTCCTGTACACGTTAGGGAGAAGAGGCTGTTTGTTTATTTACTTATTTATTGCACAGAGGTGGAAATACAGCTCAGGTACTCTACATCCACTTGAAACACAGCTAGAGGAAGTAAATGTGTCCATATCTGTGGGACCAATCATAGGCATTATGCCTTTTCATCATTTCAGAGGTTTCCATGGTCTCTGAGAAGTCCGATGGAGAGCGCCCCCTGCTCTCACCGACTGCTGGGCATGCTCTCACGTTGGGCTCCTGTCTTCCAGCACTGGGTTTGATTTGGCGGAGAGCGTGTATGAACACACAATTGCATCCTGTGCGCTAATGCAGTGTTTCCCAAACTTTTGACATGTGTGTACCCCTTCTATAATTTCCATAACGCTGAGTACCTCTCGTACTCATGAGAACATAGAATTAGGCGCAGCTAAGCACGGTGCAGTGCATATCCCCACCAAACTCCGGTGCAATGCATACCCCCACCAAACTCTTCCCGTACCCTGGGGGTACGGGCACCACACTTTGGGAAACACTGTGCTAATGTTTCAAGTTGAAGTCGTAATCCGTGTATCACGTTAGCTTGATTTTTATCATCTCTAATTGCATTTGTCAACGTATTCCCCAGAGAGGCAGGCTAGGTTAGTATGTGCCCAGGAGCAGGTTAAGGAGGCATCTTTAAGAAGGTACTGCTGGACCCCCGTGCCTCTGTAGGAGTGCGTGCAGTTCTGGGCTTGTGTGTTTCAGGGAACCCATTTTTACCTGTGCTTTTTTTAAGTTAAAGACCAGAGGAGAGGGGAGACTCCTTGTCTGAGGGGCTGTCTTTGCTGCCTTGTTGGCCTCTGGGTGCAGGGAGAAAGGCTCATCAGCAGCCTTTCCTGACTTTCACTCGCTGTTGGAGAAGCAGCCCTTGGGAAGTGCGGCGGCGGAGGGCTGCCTAATGGCTGGGCTGCGGGGTGGTTGCCTTGGAGCTGTTTGACCGTGGGCTCCGTGATGGTGATAATGGGGTGTGTAGTTCAGCTGGAGAAACAGCGTGGGGGAGAAACAGAGGGGAAGTGGCCTTCTTGTCCCGAGAGCTGGGTGATGCCAGGAGTGGCTGCAGCCAGGTTCCACCGGGGCTGGTGGACCACGCTGGAAATGGAGACTGTGGTCAGGTAAGGGCGTTTACTTTTCTTAGGCCTTTTCTCTAGTTAACCTTACTTTTTTAAATAGGCGCGTGGCATTTGAGTTTGGAAAGATGACTTTGGCAACCGTGTTGCAGGGGAAAGGAGAAGTAGTTCACTTAATTAAGCAGCGGTGTTGCAGTTTCTCTTAGGTATAAGATCAAAGCCCAGAATCCCAGGTGAGAGCCGAGCCTTTTGGGATGAAGGGGGTGGCTAGGACCCCAGGTTTGCAGAACTCTGGGGGCTCCATGGGAGGCTGTTGGGGTCCAGGGAGACTAGAGGGGGCTGGAGTTAGGTTTTGGGGGTCACAGAGGAGGACAAACTTAGGAGACTCTTGAGGGGTCAGCCTGTCAGAATTTGGTGAGCAGGATGAGGAAACAATGGTGTGGCAGCTTCCTATGTCCAGTGGAGGTCCAGGGCGACCGGCAGGCTTTAGGGATGTAGCCAGGGAAATGGCTGGGCAGGAGTGAGCTCATTGACTGGATGGGAAGGAGTGGTGGGCATGGGCCGGACAGGAGCCACCTTTGAGGGGGAGAGGAAGTGGGCTGGGCTGGCAGGACCTGCAGAGGGGCAGCAGGTCAGGGGGCAGCATGGGGGGTTGTCTGGGCACGATGACTGTTGCAGGTTAACCTGCCGAGCAGTGTCTTTGGTCTAAGGGGCCTGGTGCCAACTGGTCTTCTGGAAAGACTTGGAGCTTTTCACCTGTCGTGTTGTAGACGCACCTCCGATGAGACTTCTACGGGAGCCTGGCGCCCTGGTTCCTGTGCATGTCCGTCTGCCTCAGTGCTGGGCTGGGGGGGATAGAGGTGGAAACACCTGAAGCGATGGTAACCTGCGCTCCTCTGTTCACGCACCCAGTGCTGCCGTTTGTTGAGTGCTCGTGTCCAACAGCGAGCTGCTCACGAAGCTTGTCGGTTGTGGGATACAGCAGAGTGGCGGGGCCCGGTGTTGGGGGCCTCTCAGGAAAGCAGTGCCCTTTTCACTGAAATCAGAGGATGAGGAAGAGAGCTAAGGTGGTGTGTGTGTGTGTGTGTGGTGGGGGGGGGGTTGGGAAGAGCATGGAAGTGGGGCTCCCCTATTGTACTCTAGCACCAACTGTAAACCTTATGTCTTCTGTTTCAAGAACACAAATATTTGTGTGTTCTTTAAAAAGATATTTAGACAAAACACTGTAATTCCTTTGTTTAGAATAGGGGTGTCGAACTCAATCAGAGAAGGGGCCAAAATCTAAAATCCAGCCTAAATCGCGGGCCGAATGGTTTACTGAACAGTCATAAACTGTCACTGTGATGGAAACGCAGCGGAGTGCAGTGATGACAGCGCGGTGAGGGCCACATTGCAAGGCCTGGCGGGACGGATTTGGCCCGCGGGCCTTGTGTTTGACACATGTGGTTTAGAAAAACCCCACATTTCCCAGAAATATAGGAAAATGAGTCTGATTCCTTGGTGATCAGTGGTTAACATTTCATTTCAGAAGTGTGTCTCTTCCGCGGGAGGTGTGCTAGGATGTGTGTTTAAAATGGCAGGAATGAGTGGGCTGCCGCTAGGCGTCCTCATGGTGAATCCGTCTGTCCTGCTTCTCTGGTTTTGCTCTGGTCACACAGAGGTGAGAGATGGTGCCTGGGGAGGTGTGGCGAGAGGGTGGACGCCCAGGCTGCTCGAGGACCCGAGACGCCCACTCCTGCCAGTCGCAGCCGCCTGGCCTGAGAAGCAAAGCTGAGAGCAGGCCCCGGGTTACCAGAGCCTTCACTCTTGCCTTCAACATATGCTTACTTGAATTAAGTTATATGCTTGAAGTGGAGAATTCCTATGGTAAAGTACAGATTCACTATTCCTACGCGGTGTGGAGGAGGAGGCAGCAGAGGAGGAAACACTTTGTGGAAGTTATGAAGGCCCCAAGCGTGGGCACTCAAAATTGACCACTAGCAACAATTTTGGGGGTAGGTCTGGCCCTGCGCAAAAGTGCACCCCAGAAATTTAATGTAAGAGAGAGATTGGTTGCTATTGGTATTTGGGGCAAGAATTTCCTTGCTGAGGGGACTGGCCTACACAGTGACAGTGGTCCCTTCCCAAGTCTTGAGACACCTGAGGGCCACTTCTCCTTGTATTTGCCAACATCCTGGTGGGGGTTAGTGCAGCCTAGAAAAGAATACTGATTGGTCATTAAACTTCTCTGGGGTCTTCCACCATTGCCATCACAGGATCCCGTGGCCGTGTGTGTGTGGTGTGTGTGTGTGTGTGTTTTGGGACTCACTGGCCACATGCAGGCTGTCTCTTGTTCTCACACCTGAAGCTCAGGGACTATCCTTAGATGTACATCTTGGATGTTTTTTCTCAGTTCCTGTAGAGAGAATCATGGCAGGTCAAAGGACATGGCAGCATGCTTTCCAGTAACTGGAACTGTGTGGACCTATTTTCCTGAAGCCATGGGCCTGTTCTCTCCATCATGGGGTCTTGTCGCCCTGATAGGTGAAAAATGTAGTTTATTGTGTATTGATTTATGAAATTAGATGTCTGTGAATTTTATTTTGTGCCAACCACAGTTCCCATGAGCACAGGTCATGATTGGCAATGTTTGCCTTGTTAAGAATGCATTACAGCAGAAACCGGTTTGGCTCAGTGGATAGAGTGTTAGCCTGTGGACTGAAAAGTCCCAGGTTCGATTCCAGTTAAGGGCATGTACCTTGGTTGCGGGTGCAGCCGCAGTGGGGGGTGTGCAGGAGGCAGCTGATTGATGTTTCTCTCTCATCGATGTTTCTAACTCTATCTCTCTCCCTCTCTGTAAGAAATCAATAAAAAATATATATTAAAAAAAAAAGAATGCAATTACATTTTCAACACTGAGGAAAGCGTCTAAGGTAACAGTAAACTTTAAAGGAAATATAAATATTATAATTGTTAGATCTTCGTATTAAAGGCTGCAGTTGTGTGAAGTAGAAAGTGGAAGGCATCTGACATGACTGTTCGTGTGTTGCCTGGGCTGCCCCCCTTCCCCACCATCTTTTTCCAATCGGTAGGTCCCCATGAGCAGTTTGATGCTGTCAGTATTTGGAAAACTAGTTACAAGATAAAGGACCTGCATAGCAGCAATAGTTCTTTTAGAACTGGAGCTAGAAGGGGCAGTGAGTGAGGGAGTGTGGTTC